GGGATTCCATTCATTCCCGGTATTCCGTCGCGCCCGTCAGTGCCATCTCTTCCTACACTAATAAACACGAACACAGCGTCATGCGAAATTCGTGCCATCAACTGAATTCAACACAACAACAGAGGTAATCGCGGTAACAGCCAACTACTCACCGTCTCTTCCAGGTATCCCGTCCTTCCCGTCGCGCCCCGGTATCCCATTTTTTCCCGGCATGCCATTCCTTCCTTGTGGTCCCTGAACACAAAATGATCTTTGGTCAGGAGGCATGCTGAAGTTTCTTGACGCTGTAAAACTACACATTTAAAAGAAGAAGATAAAGACAGTGGTGTTTGGGTGCTTCTTCATATATATAATTCGTCAAGCTTAAACAAAGGAAATAGCAACCCTGAGTTGCATAGATTTTTCGATTTTACTTCTCCGTTTTTCCAGACTGTGTTTGACCACATTACCAGACGTCTCGAAGTTCGTTAAAAATACTTCGCTGCGCGTCATATTTTCAACTCTCTTATCGCTGTTTTGAAATGAGGTGCAACACAATCTCTCGTGTTTTATACAATACTTGAAATTCATGAAACCTTAAGCTTCTAGAAATATTTATCGAAGTTAATGAACAAAAAATACGAGTTAGGTTGGTGAGGCAAACGTAAAATCACTTTGTGTGTCATGTGTCGGGTTAGTCACTAGACAACACACAGTCCATATGTGATGTAACCTTTTGGGGCAAATGTGTCCAGTGCCAGTTGTCAAGTTAGATGGTAAAGTTAAAGGGGGTTGATATGTTAGAAAAGTATAAAAGGTAACACTTGCATTCACACTTGATCAGACACCACTCCATTTATCTGTGGAATGTCCAATTGCTAAATCCTTTTCGAAGAAATTGACAGTGGTACAACGTTACATGTAGAGGAAACATTGCTTTGTAGCAAAACGAAATAATCTGTGGTGTTTTTACAACACACATCGTCCGGTTTAACCCTAAATCACTTGATCATAACTGGAAAATATTTTGTTTGTACACTTACACAGCACAAGATGAAAAAAGACCCCAGTTTACAGTTTTCGTAACCCTCGTTCCGCCTTATGCCTTGGTCTTCATTTGAAAGTTTGGATGGTTAGACGACGCAGAACGTTTGCATTTCTCCGGTGTCACTTTTCAATTCAGGTGACGAAGCGACGCCATTTTGGTAGTCAAATTGTTGGACTACTAGTCCAGTGTCGTTCAAATTGTTACTTTTTTTTCTCTCGGTGGCTATTTTCTTTTGTGAAATCCTTGCATATTTTATCCACGAGATAACGTAGTCATTAACTGTTAATTTTATACGTCATCGAGTGCATTCTTTGTTTTACATTCCTCGGTTTCTAACTTTCGTTAAATCGACTTCTCGTCAATATGTCATTACCTGCGAGTGTTAGTAAAGTACCTCATGTATGAGCAATATAAGAGAATCTGGGACACGTATAAAGGCATATGTAGCCATAACAAACACAAACCTAAGCATTAATTCAATATGACAATATTTAACGATTTGTTAATTAAAAGGGCGCGTTAAATTTAGTGCAAGTAATCAATCAATCTTGTCAAAGCAATCACCTGTGAAAAGTCAACGATAATCGTGATAAAATCTCTGCCGTGTGTCCAAAATTAATAAAACGAAAGGCACCAAACACGCAAATAATGTCTTGTTTTATTGAACAAATATTAACGAAAAATCGGTCACGAAAGTTGTAAGGAGCTTCTGTGTTGGTGCCGTGTTTCGTGCAATGTTTCTTTACATATACTCATGGTCAAGCAGTCGATTTTAGCTCAGTCTGTTCTTATTCTGTAGATAAACGGCCTAAATGTAGCTTTAAATTCCAATTTTTAAGACGAATTTGCTAACAGACGAAACTCATTACTATCACGAACTTTATTCTGGTCGTTCAGTGCAGGCCTCAGAGATAAAATCAACTTCTGATTGTGAGGTGTTATCGAACTAGACAAGCCAATGAACTTTGACTATGTTTTATTTTAGTACAACTATTTATACACTTTGATGTTTCCCATTTGTTTTTCAAGATGAAAACTGGAGAAACGGGTCGGGATCACAGACTATTTCAAGCTTTTTTGAGCCTTCAGTAATTGTAACACGATTCTATCTTTCGATTTCATTCCTTTCTCAATGCAACAGCCAAATAAAAGACAACATCCCTTAGTTGATCACTTTCTTCAGTTCTTCTCACGAATTCTTTCATGATCTCTTGACAGTGCACAGATGTTGTTAGGATTAATAAGACGTATATTACTCTAGGGAATAAGAAGTTTGACGTTTGTTACCTATCATGATAATGTTGGAGGCACATGATATTGATTTAGGATGGATGGCTTTCTTTTATTCCAGCTCTCTGACAAACATAGCACATCAAAAGACACGATTTGTCGCACGAATATGACAAAAGGAAGCAAAACAGGCTGCTTGATCGTGTAGTTGTTCATCACGTTTCGTTTGTATGACATAAAAAGCAATAGTTATGATAACTTAATCAGTCACACGAAAGATTGGCACTCAAGAACTATAAGAATCTGTTTTAAATTATTACTTGTTAAGTTATTTCTATTTACATGAAGGTAGAGTTTTGTAATTTGCAAACGATGCTGAAATCAAATGTGGCACTCACACGAGAGTTTGCATCGTGCAATACGGCTATTAATTAACTTACACAGGCTGATTCAACTTACTGATTTTCCAAGGTTTCGAGTCGTCTCCATAGGTCATTCAAATTCCCTTCATGGTGCGTGCGCCGCTTTCCACGAGAGTGAACATGATCTGGCCTCGTGTCATAAGACTGTATCTGCGCTCTTTCGTTCTCTTTGCCGTTGATATAATCCTCTAGCTTATCTAGCCTTGCCAGGGCATCCGTGAGACGTGTACTTAGTTGTACATGAAGGACAAATTGAGCAGACAAGTAGCTCACAACGATCGCAATTTGAATAAACTGCCACAGCGAAAACGAAAGACAACGACCAACAAACCACTGTAAAAGTCGACGCATTTTGTCCCAGCTTAAGAGCACGTTATTCTTGTAAATTGAAACAGCTGCAGGCGCTGATAGCACATTTTACAAAGAGTGAAAGTAAAACAACCATCTTTGACTTTCTGCGCGATCTAGTGGCATACTGTTAACTTGTATTCCCCTGATATGTGCATTCCACAATAAACGTCACGATGATAGTCTTGTGGTCAGAGTTAATTTACATTCATTCATGCTAATGAAATGGCAACCCAAGCGGAACCAGACCTGTGTTGAAATTTCAATTACAAAACAACGGTCAACAGTTCGTCCTGAAATGAACAAAATCACGCCCCTCTATTGTTCAAATTTGCCCGAGTTTAATTCGTCACTACATTCATGCCTTTACCCTTTGTTACATGACAGAAATCGCACCTGGTGACGTGACCACAACTGAAATACTCTGCTCAAGTTGCACTGTCGTTGTGCCAGAAAGGTTCAAATAAAATTTCCAAGGCGCTTGTCATTTTATATCTATTTTGGCACTGATTGATCTATTTACCACATGTCCCCTTAACTGTCATGTGTGCGTGTGTCATGAAGGAAATTCAATGTCCCCTATTTAACCCCTAGTACCAAAACTTCGAACAATTCCGCTTGCTTGATGCTTATGCGTGCGCAGTCCCTAAATCACACCTGTTTAAGTTTGGTCTGAGAGGGTAGAGAGATAGGACGAATTAATCACTAATTAATGGGTATTACTAATTAATGGGTATTTT